AGTAATAGATGCAAGGTTGGAATGACCTAATGGTGATAATAGGGACCAGAGTAGAAAATATTTAAATGCTTTAGATGCCAATAGACTTATAGCAAACTAAATATAATATAGCCAATCAGCAGCTTAAGTTTTGTAATATGCATGAGCTAATTATGTAACCACATATAAGCCTTCTGATTATTGCCAATAAACGAGTTCTCGATGCACCAATCTGATAAGGTAGTCGAGTTCTTCCTTTTCCTACAGTTTACCAAGTCCCTCCGCTGGTACCAGCTAAAAAAGGAACCAAACTTCGAGGAACTCTTCTGGGAAAGCAGAATGTTTAAAATAAGTTATTCAAACCTCCTGAAAGGAGGTTGTAGCCAAGTGGGCGTTGGTCTTTTCTCTCAGGCAACCAGCAGTAGGACAAGAGGGCATGGTCTTAAGCTCTGCCAAGGGAGGTTTAGGTTGGATATTAGGAAGAAATTTTTTACAGAGAGAGTAATCAGACATTGGAATGGGCTGCCCGGGGAGGTGGTGGATTCACCATCCCTGGAGGTTTTTAAAATGAGACTGGATGTGGCACTTAGTGCCATGGTCTAGTAACCACAATGATGTTGGATCAAGGGTTTAACTTGATGATCTCAGAGGTCTCTTCCAACCCAGTTGATTCTATGATTCTATAATTCTATGAAAGCTAAAAAAAAAAAAAAAATCTTCATTTAAATACCCAGAGCTTGTTAAAACACCCTCATGGTCCCTACAGGACTAGATCAGAGTCTTTTATCTCCTGTCAGATTAAAATACTCTCAGGCAGATATATTTTAATGCAAAGAAATTGTGTTGTCTGGTAATTAACAAATGATTTTTCAGTCCTTATTTTTCAGTCCTTACTAGCACACATATTTCCATTAATTTAATTTGTCTCACTAGCAGTCAGATTTAGGAAGTAATTCAGCATCCAGACTTAGAAGAGTGGACCATGGTAGGCAGACACATGGGTCTGCTAAAAAAGAGACAACTATAACTTGATTACAAATACTAAAATATATTAAATTGAAAATATAGGAATTTCACATAACTCCAGCGCTAAATGTGCTCTCATTCACTGACATACCAAAAAGAAACCATTTAAAAAATGACAGCCATATAGTTAATCTGACCTTCAGTATAGACCAGGTACTTTGCAGCTTTTCTTCTCAGCTTGAAAGGAGTATTTCCTCCCTTGATTGTCCAAACAGAATAAATTGCTATCAGAAATGCACTAATACATCAACTTTGTGGAACAGTCTCCAGACCTAATACTTGATGAGGATCTGAGTGCTGCTTTGATTGGATACACTCCTTTATCCAAATTGACCCATTCTTATTCAGGATTTAGATCCCAAAACATATTTAGGATGTAGCTATGTGATAGGACTGACCCAATTTATCAGCTCACTACTGCTAAAAAGGGGGATCCCAAGCAGCTCCCCATTTCTGGCCAAGCACTCCTGCACTCTCCTTCATTCAGCCCTTGTACAAGTCATGCAGCAAAACATCTTGCTAATAGACTCAGTAATCCAGTCAAAGATTAGCCCAGAGGCTATTTTCTTGCAGGCTAGTAAGGACCAGTGGTTGTTTAGCAACTGGACCAGCACTCTGAGATGGACCACAGGGACACTGAAACTGCAGGGCATGGAGTAGTGAGGCTGCCTCCACATCAGGAACCTGTGCTATCGATTCATCTCACATATCTAAACACACCCTCCATCATTTGAATGGGAACTGAAGGTATTTCTGAATTCACAGCAATTAACTAACCACACAAATGCAAAAATGTATTTACCACTGGGATGGATAACCCAGTTCTGTAGCAACAGTATCCAGCACTGCAGGGAGATGAACTGCAGCCTGGGGTGCAGACATTTCAGGTTGCACGGGCTTTTGCATAGTCTCTTGGTTTTATTTCTATTCTTTGCTTTTGTCATTTGCAGGTGGTATCCAGCAAATTTCCACAAAACCTTGAAGTTGGTCCCTAAACTTTGTATTACAACTGTGAATAGGCTTACAAATAGAAATTTTTGAATGTTCCAGTGTGGAAGCAGATGTAGCAGAATGGGTCAGGACAACAAAGTAAGTTATTTCACTGAATGAAACAGAATAACTGGAGTCTGCTCAGCTTGTGACTACATAAAGCTGAGTGTGATACCAAGATCTCTGCACCTGCCATTAATTTTTATCTCACAAAAGAAAAACAATTTATGCATCACTGCATGATCCATAGACTGCCCACTTTACACTGTTTTTAAGAGAAGTCATAGAGATCAGCGAGTTTCTGCTCCAGAAGTCACGTTCTTCAAGTTTGCAACTCTTCCCAAATTTTTTTAAAAGAAATCAAGGACTTCCTCTACATTTGAAGCATATTTGAAGCATGAAATATTAACATTGGTATAATTCAGTTTGGAGTTACTGTAACCACAGGTGAGACAACATCCATTTGAAGGGTGAGGATAAGACATTGAATTCAACTCAATCCATTTAGCCAAACACTAGGAAATCACACTCCTTTTCTTTTTCTTTGAAGACTGTTGCTTAATGACAGCAACAAAAGGACAAGCATAAACTCTAGCAGCTGTACTTCAACCTGCCAGTGTTTATTAGAAAGCTATGAAGTATTTCAGTTTTCAGTAATCTATCCTAGGGGAAACATATTATGGGTAGATTTTTCAAAAACACTGATTTTACTTTTGACCAGCAAATTGAGATAAAATTTGGGAAACTCCAACTTCTAGTTTGAGGTGGGATGAAAATGAGATAATGTCCCTTAACTGAAAGAATAAAGTCATTGCAGAAACAGACTGAACCATACATAAGTGAAATTCCTCCCATAGGGGTATTTCTACAAACACAAATATGGTTTTATCAGTATAATTTGTCTTTGAAAATGCACTTGGAGTGGCACTTTAGGAAAGACTACTTGTCATCTGCCTAAAGACTTCTAGAGCATACTTCCAAAACTTTACTGATGCAAGGAATGGGTATGCAAACTTAGGGCTCATGCTTCAGAGCTTTAAATGAATCAAGAACAATTCACTTTTGACAGGGAGCTTAAACTATATTTATTTATGAGAAGACTTCATATGCAAAGGGAGAATTAGAAGAGCTCCTCAACTTGAGCACAGCAACATCTCAGTTCTAAATTAATAATTTCAGTGTCATAGTCCTCTTACATAGAAAGCAGATAATGGTTACAAAATACTGTTTGAAATAGATGTGTTTCAAAAGCTTTTAACAGGCAAAATATCTGAAACTGGTGCAGAACACAAACCTTCCTGAGGACTGTATTAAGCCAAATGTTCCAGTGCTCTGCTCTAGGAATCTGTGGTCCAAGGAAAACCCCTGGGCTGTGAAGGCTTGCGCCAGGTACACATTCCATTTCTGGGGAGGCCAGGTGTCTGAAACTATCACTTATGAATTTATTCCAAGTTCCAGATGTTTGAGTATCCTTTTTTCTTGCTCTACAAAAGCAATTCTAACTCTACCTGGTACTCTCTGCAGTTTGCAACCATTCACTGTGTGCCACAGATAAGAACTAATTTGGATACCAGAAACCCTACAGTTATTTTTAAGTGCTATCCACCACCATCTTACTCTATGTCTTCATTCTGAGCTTGCTAATGCTACTATTTTCACTTTTTCATTGGAATATTTATTGTCATAAAATCTTCAGCTAGTGTTACTTCTTGATCATCTAACACAAACTCTGTCTATCTCTTCAGTTCGATGATGTCCATATCTCCCTCACCTCTTTGAGCAGCTGGTTTATACCGCTGACTGAGGTGAGTCAAAACCAGTTTCTTGACACAATTTTGCAAAATCCAATGCCATTTTTTGAGTGCTATGACCATGCTCTCTGACCTTTTCCTCTTGGGTATCATCCAATGCAGCTTCATGTATCAGTACACCTGCTTCACTGCAAAGCTTCATGGCCACATCTCCAACCACCCCTGAACAATCCCCAAAAATGCAATTTTTTCCAGGAATAAGGTCTTCTAAGATGTCAGAAGGAGAAATTGTTACTCCATTTTCTAGCACACTTGCAGTTTCATTCTTCAGTTTGCCATATAAAGGACCTGGTTGAACTCCTGGTAAATAAAGGGAAAAGAGCCCATAAGTATTATGATGATTGTCAGATTTAAAAAAAAAAAAAATCACTATCATAGAATCATAGAATATGCTGAGTCGGAAGGGACCCATCAGGATCATCAAGTCCAACTCCTGGCCCTGCACAGGACACCCCAAGAATCACACCATGTGCCTGAGAGCCTTGCCCAAATGCTTCTTGAACTCAGGCAAGCTTGGTGCTGTGACCACTTCCCTAAACCTCCTCGGACTCAGCTTCATGCTGTGTCCTCGAGTCCCATCACTGGTCATGAGATTGAAGAGATCAGTACTTGCCCCTCCGCTTCCCCTCATGAGGATGTAGAGCTGTCTCACCAAAAAAATACAACCTCAATATAAAAAGCAATTGATATTTCACATTCATCATGCAAATAAAGAGCGTGTAATGTTAACAGGAAGTGTATTTGAAGAAAAGCTATATTCTTCATACTAAAGTCAATAAAGTCATACAAATACACTGACCATACATTTTCCTGAAAGCCACAGTGTGTTTTTTAAACTGTAACATTTGAATTTGTTTGCTCTTCCCAGTCTGAGAATGGTCTGCAATATTAATTAGCACTAGTTTTACACACCAATTCAAACTGCTGCATGGGTATGAAGTATTAAAATGTCTTTAATACAGAATGGGAAATTGAATTAAAATGGATTATGGAGAGAGACAGCAGCTCTAATTTGCTAGAAACCCTAGAAAGGTGACCATAAAAAGATTTCACCTGCCTGTGAACCCAGTTTTGTTATATTTGCTGAAAACTGGACTTGCTACTCAGCTTGAACACATGCATTTAGGCAGATCATGGATCCAGGCAGAGTATTCTGTCTTGTCCCTGTGGAGGTACTTCATCTCTGTCCAAGAAAAGTCTAAATTCTTCTGCAGGGCATTGGTTCTGTGTAGTTACCAGTTCATGGACAGTGTAGGGAAAAAAAGTTGTGAGTGGGAGAGTTCCATGCTCCTCCATATGAAGTTTCACTGTCCTAATGGTCTATAAATTTCAACAGGTGGTTTGTTTGGGTCAGGGTTACTTTGGAGGTTAAGTGTACGCAGCAGGCCAGGAAAATCCAAAAAGTGGTTGCCATGAAGACAAGTTATGAAAATCTTGGTAATTCTGCCAATTTATTAGAACAACAGGAAAAGAAAAACAAACTAGAAAATAAGACAGGAAAATAAACACCATAACAACTCAGAAGTAATCACTTTTTGGTAAGAAGTAGGAAATAAAAATAAAACCAGTGTTTAAGAAATAAATCCCAAACCATGAAGTATTTTTTTTCCATAAGAGCGATAAGTTTCCACACAGGGTTTATTTTGGCTTGATTCATCAAGAAAAGTCTGCTGAGACAGAAGTTTTAGTTCCTTCTAAGGAAAACATGCTACAAGGATGGAATGGAACTGACCGGTAATATCTGCCATATTAAAACACAAAGAAGTGCTGGGGAGTAGTTATACTTTCATATACTACATGGAAACTGTAGACTAATGAGAAACATAATGTGGAATTTATGTTGATCCTTGCTTTGAATCTAGCACATGAAATGAACACAATTAAAAAAATAATAAAAAAAGCATTCCGTTTTGATTTCCAAATTTTTTAAAAGGCAAGAACCCCACAATTCCTGATGGATGAAAAATTGCACTTCAAATACTTGGGCTTTGTTTCATGTCTGAGTTTGTCTCACTCTAGCTCCCAGGCACTGGGCCTTGCCCTTACTAGATTAAAAACGCCCAGAAATTTCTCTCATTAGACATGTGTACTGTTGCCTAAAAGGCTGTGGAGGAAAAAAAAGGCTCCAGGCCAAATTATGTAGGAGGTAAGATAGGGATACAAAAGGTTTTAATGAGCCCCCAGGCTTCCAGGAATGCCACCACTGCATGCCCCCGAATACAGGTGTTTACAGTTTTTATAGTGATTTTCACCCAATCCCCGTCCGACCACCGCCCAGGTTCTGCCCCCCGACACGCCTCTCAGGAATTGAGTCTGGGGGCGTTTAGGACCCCCTCTTCTTCATCTTCATCTTCCTCAGAGCACGTACTGTTCTTGGAGGCCTTCCAGAGCTCTAGGCCTGAAGGTTGTTGAGTCTATGGCTATATCTTCTTGTCCAGATTTTAGGGTGCTTTCTACAATTCTGCCTTGAAAATGAGACTAAAAAGGTTAATGGAATTGAGGGGAATTGATATGGGAATGGGTAACAGGGTTTGCTATGTGTGGTTGGTGTGTTAAAGGGTAAGGGATAATGTGCTGCTACTTTTAAATCTACATTTACTATATAACTACTTCTAAAATCTACAAAATTAAAAAATCAAAACTCCAGGGTATCAGTACTTTAATCAGGTTGCCTCAGTCTCCTCTGCTACCTGAGTTCCCACTTCCACATGGTAATGCAATTTCTCCAGCATCTGTTAGGACCGAGCAATAGGAAGGACAGGATCTCTTTAAGACCAATTAATTAAAAATCAGTAAATTTAGTAAAAAATTATCTATTCACTTGGTCATTGAATACTCTGATAGCTTCAGATTTTGGAGGAGTAGAAGGTTGGTTTCCTGTTTATAACTGGTAATTCCCTCTTTCCATTTTTATAACTTGAGAGTCAGAAGTCTGCTCATGCCACTGTAGACTGCAAAAACATGACTGAAGGTGAGTCTGGTTTCTACTTTATTTGCCAAAATGTAAGTTACCACAAATACACACAACCCTACCTGAAAAGAAAAGCACGATATTTACTGACAGGAAGACTCACAGCAGGTATTGTCTAGAGTGGTCTTCAGACAAATACAAACTGTGCCAGTTTAAGGCTGGTCTGTGGTCCACATTTGAAATTTAAAAGCCCAAGAAATTAATTCAGGAAAATTTTGTTCTAGAATGCAATTCTTTACCAAAGGACAATCAAGGATTACTGCACAGCAGGTTTGGCAACTGCCACCCACATGCAGCACCTTCAGATGCTCATGCATGTTTAGTAAGTATTCAAATATGTATTCATGCTTAATTAGACACTGCTAGTTTTGGCCTGTGTTTTGGCCCAACCACCTGTGAGAGTCTGTTCTTTTCCTGCCAAGTTATATGAAAACAAGCACTTATAAACAAGAACTTCATCCTTGAAGGAAGTATCTTGTATAAACTGAAATTAATTGGGAGCTGGCTATTGGCCAACAGCCCTCCAAGGAAATTTGAAGGAGAAAGTGGAGGATGATGAAGTAAGCCCCCAGACTCATTTAAGAAAACCCCCCAAGGTGTAGCATGCATGCACAGGGAAATTCCAATGTACACATGCATATGCAGAAGGGGTACCACTTACATAACTGGGGGAGGGACCGAAGGCCTCTGTCTGGGCAGTGCTGGCCACACCCACCCAGGTAGACGTCATAGGTTAATTGTATAAAGAGCAGATAGCTCTTGCTGGGAGCAGAATTTCAAGCTTCACATGGAGGACAACATTGCCTTTGCAGGGGCACCTGCCATCTTATGAGCCTGCTGATGCTCCGGGGATGCAGTTTCTGCTATGGGTAATTCTAAGCATTTTGGGGTCAGTAAGACAACTTCATAAGTAACACCTGAGTGAGTAGGGGGTTGTCTTGGGGGCTTGTTTCCCTTCTCTTTCCTGTCTCTCAGCTTCTCGTTTTGTTGGCTACTTCTTTGTAATAAATATTGTTTTGTTGAGCTTCTAGCGGTGTACTGGTTTCAGTTTTGGCATTCTCCCTGCTACAAAATACCACAAGCACAAGGACAAAGTATTTTTACATCTCATGAAACTTTTCCCCTTCCCTCATCACAATACCTTTCAACAGCACAAACCTGCTTTGAGATGGCTCTTCATGAATTGTGTTTGAGTTCCCTCTCCATAGTCAAAGAGCAAGCACTCTCCTTCCCTGCAAAGCACTAACACTGATGCTCCTCTTGTTGGAGAGGTATACACTGAACTGGCACTGAGGAAAGTTATATCCATCCACATTTTGAATATGTCCTTATGCCACCTGAAAAAAAAGGTTTTGAGCTGCCAAACATACATATTTATGCTGGGAAAGAAACAAACATTTTTGCTTTAAATGCAGACATGCTCTGTACTTTAGTTTGAGGATCAAATTCCTCTTCCCTTAAAAAGTGAAAATAAAATCTCCCTGGAGTAGGATATGACTTTCAGATAACACAATATTTAAAAGCAGCAGATTTCCTTTTTATGTCAGCAAAGGTTGCAAACACGCAGCCCAAACATAATACCTTTGTCCATTACCTAAAGAAACAGCCCTATCCAGTTGGAAATGCTCTAATCTTTAAACCCACTCTTATTTCTTTCTTCTTTGCTTTATTTAATCTTTGAATTTTCCTACATGTGCTTTCCTCTAGAAGCCTTTTCAGAATGACTAACACCAAACAGCCACTGCTGACATTTAGATGCCATCACTGGACATCAGGTGTGGTCATCCCAGCAACGCAGAGGGGAAAGATTCACGCCCCTGAAAACAACTTCAGACACCACAGGAGGCAAGAATGACCTGTATTGGGTCTATCTGAGCTGGAGTTCATTTTCCCACAGTAGCCCTCACAATGATGTGCTTTGCATTGGTAGCTAGAAGAGTGTTGATAACACACCGGTGTTTTGGCTACTGCTGAGCACAGCATCAGCACTGTAACATTCCTTCCTCACTTGGGGGCAAGATCCTGGGAGGGGACTCAAGTAGGCCAGCTGACCCAAACTGACCAAAGGGATATTCCATACCATATGATGTCATCTCAGATATAAAAAGTTGAGGCAAGGAGCAGGAAGGTAGGCATTCATTGTCTCCAATGGCTGCCTGCTGAGAAACCGTCATGCGTACTGAAGCCCTGCTTCTTGGGAGTGGCCGACCATCGTTGCTCATGGGAAGCAGAGAATAAACCCTTCTATATTTCGCTTCTGCACACACAAGCTTTGCTTTACTTTTTTGCTTTAAATAAACTGCCTTATCCCAACCCACAAGTTGTTTTTTTTTCCACCTTGCTCTCTCCCCTGTCCTGCTGGGAAGGGGAGTGATAGAGTGGCTGGGTGGGGACCTGGCGTCCAGCAAAGGTCAACCCACCACACAACCCAACTCAACCCACCTTTTCAGAATGACTAACACCAAACAGCCACTGCTGACATTTAGACGCTGTCACTGGACATCAGGTGTGGGCATCCTAGCAACGCAGAGGGGAAAGATTCATGCCCCTCAAAACAACTTCAGAGCCCACAGGAGGCAGGAGCAACCCAATTTACTTTGCCTTTGCAATGGCACCCTTGAAAGCCTGTTTGACTTCTCATTAGTACTAAGTGAAAAATTTAATGCTACCAAATCTTTATGTAGATTGAAGGCTGACAGATTACATGACACCTATTGCAGCAGAAGGATCTATACAACCAGCTGCCATACCCCAGTTGTTAATATATCCACTGTAGTGTCAAGATGAGGAGCCTGGCTGGTCTGTAGAAGGATAACCTTTGGAAAGCTGCATTAAGAGCAGAACTTCCACATGCATCACCAATGCTCTCTTGCCTTAGAGGGTGTGACATAATGATTCACGGACTTTTGGCTTGCTGGACAGAAATCACTTTATTGCTCATGATCCAGGGTTTTTATCTCATTCACTTTCAGCTGGGAGTGGTTAAGCAAATCAAGGGCAGAACACAGCTGCAAGTCACACATCAATCACTCTCACAGGCCGGCCTCTCACACATACACACACACAGACCTTGGAGTTTCAAGTTACCCCTTTTTCACACCCCCGCATGGTGAATTGCAAACTGGAGAGCTTAGCTCATTTCTGGGCAGTAAATCATGGCTTAGAAAAAACAATACAAGGTCATCCAGATATTCCTCAGGCCTTTCTCTTCTTGTTCTCCCACTTGGCTTGCTACAAGAGGGTATGTTTTCTCCAGCTTTAGTCTTCCCAGAGTTCCTGCCAGAGTTCCCAGAGTTCCTGCCTTGTTCTCAGATATATTTCCAACTCACTGCAAACTGCAGGGGGTCTCAACAGCTTCAGATACCTTTCAATAACATTTCTAAGGTCTAATTATTTTTAAAGGAGCTGCCACGACCTTCCAAAGGAAAGCAGTCCCTGGTGTGCCAGCAGGATCCTCCCGAGGACACCAACGTGCAACATGTAATTACCCAACTTGGGGGGCAAGAAGGGGTTTTTAAATGTTCATCACACCCCTAAAAGGCATAAATAACCATTTTGCTTCCTTTTCCTCTGTGTAAAATCACAGAACCACAGAAAGGTTTGGATTGGAAGGGACCTTCAAGATCATCTAGTTCCCACTCCCTGCCATGGGCAGGGACACTTTCCACTAGACCAAGTTGCTCAGACCCCCTTCCAACCTGGCTTTGAACACTTGCAGGGATGGAACAGCCACAGTTTCTCTGGGCAACCTGTGCCAGGGCCTCACCACCCTCACAGTCAAGAATTTCTTCCTAATATCTAATCTAAACCTGCCCTCTGTCAGTTTGAAGCCATTCCCCTTTGCCCTTCTCATAAGTCCCTCTCCATCTCTCTTAAGGTACTGGAAGGTGCTCTGAGGTCACCCTGGAGCCTTCTCTTCTCCAGACTGAACAACCCCAACTCTTTCAGACTGTCTCCACAGCAGAGGTAAAAAAGGTACAAAGAAGTAAAAGCAGATTAACAACTTCTCAGCTGAACTGGCCTCAGGTCTTACACCATTGTAGTGGGTTGACCCTGGACAGGTACCCACTAAAGCCACTTTCTCATTCCTCTATGCAACTGGACAGAGAGAAAAAAAACAGTGAAGGATTCATGAGTTAAGAGCTGGGAGAGGTCACTTAATGATTACCTTCATGGGCAAAACAGACTCAAAGTGGGGATAGTAACAGCATCAAAGAGTGAGAAATGAAATAATTTTAAAAACACCTTCCCCCCACCCCTCTTTCCTTCCAAACTCTACCTTCTCCCCCCCCCCCCCCCCCAGTGGTGCAGGGGGACAGGGAATGGGGGTTACGGTCAGTTGTTGTTTCTGCCTGCTGTCGGGGAGAGGAGTCCTTCCCCTGGTTCCTGTGGGGTCCCTCCCACGGGAGACAGTCCTTCACAGACCATTCTGGTGTGAGTTCATCCCACAGGCAACAGTTTTTTATGAAACTGCTGTCCCATGGGTCACTCCTCCATGAAGTGCAGTCCTTAACAAATGAGCTGTACTGGCATGGGTCCCCCACAGGGGCCACAAGTCCTACCTGGGAAAAACCTGCTCCAGCATGGGCTCCTTTCTCCATGGGCTGCAGGTACCCGGCAGGACCCTGCAGCATGGGCCTCCCACAGGGTCACAGTGAAACGAGAGCAAGGCCTAAAAGAGTTAACTGAGGTATTGAGAAGCCCCAACACCTGCTCTGCCTGTGCTGCTAAGGAAACATCCCAAACTCATTCTGTTCTGCTTACTGGACCTAAACCTAAGAAGAATACTAGAAATGCTATACAGTCAAGCTAGAGGCCATAAATTAAGACAAGGTAGACATCTGAATAGGAGAAAAGGGCTTAGAGCCAAGGATTTTTGCAAGCTTCAGTAACTGGGACATCAACAATGGGGAGGTAGGGAGGTCAAAGCGAGGAAGAAGAGAAATAGACCCCTGAATTAAGGCCAAAGGCCTGAATGACCACCACCAAGAGAAGAATCTGGAAAGCACTGTCCCAAGCTCTGCCCAGACTCTGCCTAGACTCTGCCTATAATCAATATGCATGATTAGATGTTGTAATAATATGAATATGTATATGTAAGCACAGATTTAGACTGTATAAATTACCCTGTTTTTGCATTGGTGCCTTTGAGCAAGTTTGTCCAGCGCGAGCTGACTTGGTCCCAATGTTGAATAAATAAATACCTTGCTACTCAAAGATAAAAAAGTCTCTGAGCAGTTCACATTCTGAGGTTTTTTGGCATCAACAGCCTCCTTCAGATATCCACCTGCTCCAGCATGGGCTTCACCATGGGCTGCAGGTGGGTCTCTGCACCCCATGGGGGGTGCCCTCCATGGGGGACAGCCTGCTCCACCATGGTCTTCACCACAGGCTTCAGGGGCCTCAGCTCTGGTGCCTGGAGCACCTCCTCCCCCTCCTTCTGCACTGACCTTGGTGTCTACATTGTTGTTCACATGTCACTCCACTCCTCCCTGGCTGGAATTTTTCATCTGCACAACAACCTTCTGTTCTTAAATATGTTATCACGGAGGTGTTACTATCACTTCTAATTGGCTCGGCCTCGGCCAGTGGCAGGAAGCACATTCTGGAGCCGGCTGGGCTCAGGGACAGCTTCTAGCAGCTTCTCAGAGAAGCCACCACTGTAGCCCCCCTGCTACCAAAACCTAGCCACAGAAACCCACTACAGCTGTGAATTTGCATCTGTGGGACCAGCTGGCACCACCGAGACTGACCAAGGTCCAACTTCTGAAATACCTCACAACTATCCACCCCCCCTCACTGCAGCTCCAAGCCTTGCCCCGCCACTGACTTGAGGAAGCAAACCTCCAAACTCACAAAGAGTATTGAAGCAGGTATGTTTATTTACAGCGCCAGGTGCGTGGGGGATAGCTCCACCTAGCATGCACACCCATTGCCTTTGTTCAGCTTCTTTTATGCGATACAATGTTACATATGCATTAGTTGTGTTACATATGTATTAGTTGTTTACATATGCATTAGCTGTTTCAGCAAATTCCTGAAAAGTGTGAGGGGAAATCATTAACATACACCACTCCTATAACTCCGCCTTGAAACACCCCTTGGGGGTGTTCTTTGAGTGTCTTTTGGATGTAGTAAGAAGTCTTCCTCAGCTCTGAACTCTTCACCTTTGCAAAGAACTGCTGAGCTGGCACTGGTCAGAGCCCCTCTTTATCAACCTTCAAGGTCTCCTTCAAAGCTCCTTATCAAAACTCCAAGGTTTTTGTTCCTGCTAGAATCCTCATTATAAAGTTAACCATATCCTGTCTGTAAGTT